GCTTGCTGGGGGCGGCAGCCACCATCTTTCATGTCAAGTAGGTCTGCATTTCTGGCAGGGCTTCAGTGAAAAAAAAAAAAGTTAAACCTCTACTCCCCCACCCCCCAATTCCTTCTTCTCTTTTTGAAGAGTGAATTTGTGTTGAAACACCATTTTCCAGCCCTGATAATTTGCTCAACTTCATCACAGTGATCACAGGAGATGAGTTTTCACGATCCTGCCTTGGCTGAGCCTGGCTGGGTCAGTGGCCAGCTCATCTATCTTCCTTCTCTTTATGAATCATCCTAGGCAAAAAGGACAATGGACAAGAGATGCAGAAAAGCCTCTTTTCTCCCCAGGATAATCCAGCTCTAATTCCTCAGGAGGGGCAGCTTTGGGCCCTTTTAAACCAAGGTCATTGTTGTTCAAGGCTCAACTAGTTTGCCTAGTTTGCACTTCCCAGCAGAGGCACTAACTAGGGAGGAATTGCTAAAACCTGTTTATCTGAAAACAATGACAACAAAATCCCCACCAACCAAAGATCCTATAAATCATTTCACTTCCAACTCACAAAACATTCTAGTTAAGCAAATTTTGTCTTCCCTCTAGGCAAACCAAGTGCCAGATTACTAGAATACAAGTAGTCTGAACACGTGTGAAAAGGAGAGATTCAGATTCACATGTTCCAAGGTCATCTTCACAGCTTCACAATGATGCTTTGATATCACTTCTTGAAAGGCCTTGATTTGAATTTAAATTGTTGTTTGCTAGAAATGTTTAGAGTTCAGTCAATAAACCCAATGTAAACTTTCCTTTAAGGGGAAAAAACATTATTTGTTTAATTTACAAATGTTGATTTGGTTAATTTGTACCCTTAATTATGATCAGGTTCAAAGACCAAGTTTAAAGGCCCAGATTACAGCATACAGTTTTGATGCCATTTTCAATAACTCTGCTGAAAATAAATTAACAGAATAAATGCTGGGCAGTTACTTTTAACTGCTTTGGTTATATTGGTCCTTTCTTTTTGGTACATAGGAATATGTAGATGATGTTTGAAAAATATTTAGCAGCAGAATTCTATTGACAGTTTATTCTCACTGAAACATAAGCATGCTGATTTTATGGTTTCAAGATTTCTTCTGTTTGCAGTAGCCGAGATATAAACGCAACCTAAGTGTCCTTGTATAGATGAATGGATAAAGAAGATGTGGCATATATATACAGTGAAATATTACTCACCGATAAAAAAACAAATGAAATCTTACCATTTGTGACAACATGGTTGGACCTAGAGGGTATTATGCTAAATGAAATAAATCAGACAGAAAAAGACAAATACTGTATGATTTCACTGACATGTGGTATCTAAAAAACAAGCACTAAACATTTCAATCAAATCTAATAGCTGTGTTTTTATACAGAGTAAAAGCAGGAGTTGTAAACTCCAAGTATTACAAGGACTGGCAAGTAATTGTGTGAATCAAACCTAGCATAAGATCCAGGGAAAAGCTGGGCTCGTGGACAAATAGGAGAATATATGCTGTACCTAAATGCATTCAAATTCAAAAGTTTTGAGAACCTTGGCTGGTCAAACAAAACATATCTGCAGGCTCAATTGGCCCACAGGCCACAGATTTGGCGTCCCTTGTCCAAAGACATTTAAAGCTTCTACAGGACAAAACTTTGACAAAATTAATGGTGGTGGGATGGGGGGAGATATGTGATTCTAGAGATTTCAATACTGTAATTTCTCTGTTTCTTAAAATAGATGAGGATCTTTTTCTCTGATTGATGACTGATACATGTAAAATGATGAGATCACTTTGGCTAAAGGATTACCTAAAGATAGGAAATATATTCTATTAATAGGCAGTGGTTGTATTTACTCCCTTAGAGCCAGGTTTGTGTCTGGCAATTTTTTTAGTCCTTCTTATTTGTATTGCTGTATTATTTAACATGTGACCAAGGGTGACATTTGGGATATAGAATATGACTTTTTGAAGATTAAGGCACCAATCTAGCCCTATATAGGCCCTTCCATCACATTAATTCAAACATATGATTTTTAATGTGGCTCATGTTTTGAATATTATTAAGGTGAACCTTTAAGATGGAACTGGAAAGTGTGTTATTGCAGATGTATTTTTTTCTGTGGAATGTCCAAGGATAAATACATAAGTAGATTCCTAAACAAGTACAAGTTGCTTCAAATCCACTCAGGTAGGAAAGCAATCAAAGGCTGGCGGGTACACTGAAGTGGCCTATAGGCTTTTGCGGTAGAATCACTGAAGAATGTTAGTAATGTAATAAGACAGAATTTTGATTAACACAGCTAATTAAATAAACAAAATAATTTGGAGGAAACTGCTGGCTTCATTTCTTGATGCCCAAGAAATAAACCATTCTACCTTTGTGAAAGACAACGAATAAGAAACCAAGCAGATAAGATTTTTTTAAATGACCAAGCTTTGTGACACATATGAGATGGATTTCAAATGTCTGCAGATTTTATACATATTGAATAATACAAAACAGATTACAGTTGAAAATGTTATATATTTTATCCTAACTCCTTGATAGTCACCTACCTTTGGGAACTAAATCAACTCCTAGTTATAAAGAGTTAGCATCAATCAGAACATCTCGGTTCTTTTTTTTTTTTTTGGCGGTACGCAGGCCTCTCACTGCTGTGGCCTCTCCCATTGCGGAGCACAGGCTCCAGACGCGCAGGCTCAGCAGCCATGGCTCACGGGCCCAGCCGCTCCGCGGCATGTGGGATCTTCCCGGACCGGGGCACGAACCCGTGTCCCCTGCATAGTCAGGAGGACTCTCAACCACTGCGCCACCAGGGAAGCCCTCGGTTCTTTTTCTAGGTAAATAGTTTGGTATTTTTATGTACAGCATTTAATAAGCACCAGGTTTATTATTTTTGACAGTGCTACCCGAAAGTCACTTTTGATACACTACATGTCCTTTACTGGCATAAGCTTTATATTGTGGTACAAAAATATCTAGAAGAAACATGTCCGTTAACATTTCATGAGAAAGGTAATTTGTAATATGAATATCTGTGAAGCTGATATTTTCAACCATGGGGGTAAAACTTTTGTTTTAAGGTGACAGAAGCAAATGAAAATACTAAAAGATCTGGTTCAGTTAAGATCTGAAATATACATATACATATGAAATATATTAGCATATTAGATACCAATATCATGTAATAGTCACACTATCAATAATATTTAACAATAATATTAGTAATTATTAATTAGTTTGAATATATTCATTTCCTTAAAATGAATTAAATCTTGACTCTAGAGCATTCTCGACAAAAGACTGATGAGAAAAGCAAGCTCCAAGCAGAAATATGTCTGGCGATTAGCCGGCAGTGTAAAGCACTGAGAGGCTGACATATTCTTTTGTGAGAAGACTGTGAGATGTAACTGATAATTCAGTTTATCTGCCACAGTAGGTTGTTGCACGTAATTATCCTTAGACCTCATCAGCCCTAAGAGAATGGCCTGACACACCATAGGAAATCAGGTTCTGTGTGCTTAGCTAATGTCCCATCACAGCATGGAAAAGCAAGAAGTTTTGGAAGCTGTGATTATATTAAGGTTCTTCTTTTTTTAAAAAAAAAAAAAAATGCTTTTTACCTTTAGAATTCTGAGGAGTTGAAAAGTCATACACGATCTTACTTCGATTAGCCTACCTTCACCTGAGATTCACATTGGCTTCTATCTTATCAAATGGTCCCAAATCATTAGTCTTGGGATACCACCAACATTAAAATGTATTTTGATATTAATTAGTAATGTAAGAGGGAAAGGGCTATGAGCAGGCACTGATTAAAGCTGATGGTTTATTTCCAAACAATATGCACTGCCCAAGAGGAATAAGCCATAAAGAGGCATTTGCAAATCAGTGTTTCACCCCACTGTCTTCAACTGTTGTTATTATGAATCAATTTGCTTTCATTTTAGTCTATCCATATTTGGGAAAATGCAGGATGCCAGGATTATAACCAACAATTACGTAGTAAAACACGATTCTGATTGTAGCAGACATGCACTGCTTGTATACATCAGTACTGGAACAGTCAGACCATGCGTGAATTGGAAATGAGGAGAGAACCGATTTTATTCAGTTTATCAGAGTATAGGAGATTGCTTGTATTATCTGTTTCTAATTTATTTTCTAATGCAACTAGTTGCTATAGCTCATTTGTTCTGTGTGGAATTTAAATCCTTTGTAGGGAAATTCATGTGCTCTTAACAGGATTTTGTTTTTCCACTAAAACTCTGATAAAATGTTTTGTCCTTCCTTCTCACCTGCAATTTTTTGCTATGGAGAATATAGAAATGAGTAAGACAGTCCATATTCAGTCTATTAAAAGTGGGAGTAGGGGGGTAGAGAGTAAAAGTAAAATAGTGCATTGCAATATAACAAGTGCTATCAGTAATGAAGATACAGTACCTGTAAGGTGTTCCTGGGATACAGAGGCGTTCTCAGTGGGGAATACAAACAAAAGCAAGCCTAACAGCTGAGTATCCAAGATGTTGCTACTGATACCTACTATAGAAAAACATGATTGGCATATATAATATATAGGTATTTCAATTGTGGAACTTTATAGATAATGAATCTTAAAAAAGGTATTTCCATTCAGTCCTGTAATTTCTTTAGATTTGCCTTTTTCATTTGAAAGAAAAAGTATTCAGGCCCCATGGAACTCTCAATAGATAACTTTTGAATAACACATTTATTAAAAATAAACATCATGGGGCTTCCCTGGTGGTGCAGTGGTTGAGAGTCCGCCTGCCGATGCAGGGGACACGGTTTCGTGCCCCGGTCCCGGAAGATCCCACATGCCACGGAGCGGCTGGGCCCGTGAGCCATGGCCGCTGAGCCTGCGCTTCCGGAGCCTGTGCTCCGCAACGGGAGAGGCCACAACAGTGAGAGGCCCGCGTACCACAAAAAAAATAAAATAAAATAAACATCAGACACTAAACTCAGCCTTCATTGTACATTCTTTTTATTTAGTCTGCATTAAACAATGCAGAGATTTTACTATAACAAAGAGCATAACATTTAATAGTTTTCAGTTAGAGCCTTTCAATGAAAGCTTTGAGATAAAGCAACTACAGTTTCAAAGTAATCAAGCCAACTCTGAATTAGTATTAACCAGAACCACTATACATGTAAAGGAGAGTTATCCCCTCTAATAAGGGGAAACATATAGAAAACATGAGGAAGTTAACAGTATGAACAATAAAACAGGAGTAAAATAAGTAGTAGGAAACATCATAGGGAGATAAACTTTATAAAAAGAGTGAATTATCCATTTAAGATGTAAAAACCTTGCAACGGGAAAGTAATTCAATTTCTAAGCCTCCGCTTTCTCCTTGTATTAATTTTTTCCTCTGTAATTAGGTATTGGCTTTTCTTCTCCTGAGTAAGATCACCTGGTTATTTAGGTGTTTATACTTCTGTTATTATTACTTGTTCTGTCACACAAATGTTTGTCTCCACATCCTCAAGGCTTACAGACAAATTAAGTAGTAGCTCTAAAGTTACTGTGGTAAGCCCCACCTTCCTACTGATTTTTAAATATGTCTCATGGGCATGTATATTAGGATTAAATGGCTTTATTACTTGTAAAAGGAAAGTAATAACCAATTTAGCAGATTTCAGGCTACAAGGATATCTTTACCTACCTGGGCTTCAATTATTCTGGTAAAATGGTGACAGATAAGCAGATTTTGAAATAAGAAAATTAAGAGGCATTTTAAATGTTGCTGAGACTAAGATTTTTAACTCCTGATTCTGGTTGACCAGACAGATCTGTGTAATGGAAGCTAGTTACCAGAAAACTGAGAGCTTTACTGCATGAAACCTTCCATTATTTATGAAAAGTCCAATGCTATGTTTAATTCATGCAGATCAACTGGTCCCTACACAGATTTTGGGGAAGGATGTGAGAGAATTATTCAGATTCTGATTTAGGGCTTAAAGACTATTGAGAAATAGGAAGGTACTGAGACAGAGAGTCTCATCAGAGCAGATTTAAGTAACTTCGTTGACCTAGAACTGTCCCAGCAAAATTGTCATGCACAAGGCCAGGCCAAAATATTGCTTGAAAGATGGGATAAATGAAATAACATCACATCAGATGCATCCCTTGATTTTTCAGGTAGCATAGCTTCAGGAAAAAAAAACAATTCCAATACCACAAGTTGAGAATTATCTGTTTAGCTCTTAACATTCTGAAGTAATTCCAAAACAGTACAGTACTTAACCTAATTCAGCATTCTGTGGCCCCTGAAATAGGATTCTGTGTTTTAAATGGCTTACCAAAAACTATTATCTTGTAATTTTGAGGTAAACATTTTTATTTTCTTACACAACCAAACATGTTAAACTATCTTAGTACATTACCATTTTCAACAGGTCATCTTTTAGTCTTTAGGTGCAGTTTTCACATTGTTTTGCTCAGTATTTTAAAAATGTACTTAACACCTTGTAGACCCTTTTAACAATGCTGCGTATCCTTTGTAATCTTATTTGGTATAATATAATCATGTTCAGAGTTATTTTTGTATTATTTACAGTGAATTAAAGTGAATAGACCCACTTACCCCCTCCCCCTACCCCACAATTAAAAATAAAAACTAAGAAGACTACAAGAAATGAGATTAGGTTCTGAGAGGAGGGAACTCCTAATCATTCAAGGGTGGGGATACGAAGTCAGCTTACTGCACCCACCCATTCTCTATGCTACAGAAAACCTTTGTGGGACTACTGCCAAGTATTTTCTAAAACCTTTCAAGAAGCTCCAGTAGATTTCTGGATTTGTTCCTTTAAAATCAGGATACTCTGCCTTTGCTCAGGAGGCAGCATGGCAATCTGATCTGCAGTCAGTTGAAGAACCTGCATGATCAAAGCTGCCTTTTCTTGATCCTGTGGGGTTACCTGACTCTGTCCAGGACTAAAACTGCTAGGCTGGCCTCCACCTTGCTTGCCTGCCCCTTGCATGCTTGCTCCCTGCATGCCTGTCCCTTGTATACTTGCCCCCTGCATGCCTGCCCCCTGCATGCCTGCCCCCTGAATACCTGCCCCCTGCATGCCTGCCCCCTGCATACCTGCCCCCTGCATGCCTGCCCCCTGCATGCCTGCCCCCTGCATACCTGCTCCCTGCATACCTGCTCCCTGCATACCTGCCCCCTGCATGCCTGCTCCCTGCATACCTGCCCCCTGCATGCCTGCCCCCTGCATACCTGCTCCTTGCATACCTGCCCCCTGCATGCCTGCTCCTTGCATACCTGCCCCCTGCATGCCTGCTCCTTGCATACCTGCCCCCTGCATGCCAGCTCCAGGATTTCCCACCCCTGAAATGCTTGCGACCTGTCTGGGTCCCTGAGGACCACCTGCCCCCATATTAATAGGACCAGCACCCTGAATTCCCCCAGTCATAGGGCCTCTTGAACTGGGGCCAGGGCCCCTCATTTCCATTCCTCTTGCATCCATGCCTCTCGCTTCCATCCCTCTGGCTTCCATTGCACAGGTCTCCATTCCTCTTCTCTCCATTACTCGTGTCTCTAAGACCTCAGTTTCCATGGCTCGAGTCTCCATCCCGCGAGAATCTCTGCTACCTCTACCATCCATAGGTAGACCCCTTTGATCTATCATGGGTCCTCTGGGTTCTCCAATGAGCAGTCTGGGATCTGCTAATGGCCCTCCCCTCATGTCATGTGAGGAAGGGCCCCGGCTGTCATGACCAGACGCATGGTGCATTGGAGGACCCTGATGTGGTGGGCCAAGATAGCCTCTGGGCTCTACTTCTCCAGTGACTGAAAGCAAAGTTCCTCCACGTGGGTCATTTGGAGCATCCCCTAACAGTCCTCGAGGAGGTAAGCCACCAGCAGTCATGGGTCCACGAGACATAGGAGCTCTAGGATCTGATATCTGCACCTGTCCCCGCTCCAAGGGCACCGGACCAACCCCTGGCATTCCAACTTGGGGCTGCATTGCTCCACCAGGAGTTAAGGGGCCAGGGCCAGGGCCAGGGCCAGCAACTGCAGCTGGAATTGGGCCTGGGGCTGGAATTCCACCCTGGATAGGGGTCTGCATCAGAGGAGGGATGTCTTTCACAGGTCTTCTGGCCAAATGCTGAGGCTGAGGGGCTGGAGGATTCTGCTGGTTCAGCAGAACATTAGGTCCTGGGCAAAGGCCAGGGCCAGGGCCAGAAACGGATTGAGATTTGCCTGGGATGAGTGGTGTGACATGTATTTTGCGATGCAGAATTTTCAGAGCAATCTCTGGATCCATGATTCTCATCACTACTTGAGCCTGCAACAGCGCATAAGCCAGCTGTGGGTTTTGAAGTAACATATTTCGAGCTTCCTGGTGACTGTTTTGGACACAGAGCTTCATCTGCTTCATCAGCTCAAACATCTGCTCCGGGGGCAGACTAGCGACTGCTCTGGTAATTGACTCAGGGGCATCTTCTGGATCGATGGGGTCCCCATAGGGTGAGTCAATGATGGGCGCTGCAGGCCCTAGGCTCTTTAACTCCTCCTTGTTCTTTTCACTGGCAGCATTGTCCACCCGAAGCGCTCTCCCGCTGAACTCCCGCCCGTTAAGGTTCCGCATGGCACTAAGCGCGGTCTCCTGGTCTTGGTACTCGCAGAAGCCATAACCCTTAGGTTTTCCCGTCTCTCTATCGTATACCAGCCGGAAACTCACAACGGAACCAACCTCGGAGAAAATGTCCTTCAACTGCTCCTCAGTTGCCTCATACGGAATGTTGCCCACGAACACGGAACGCAGTGATCGATCCATTGCCGGGTCTCTCACCGTCAAACTCGACATGACTCCGGTTGCGCACACACAGCGGACAGCGGATTCTTCCCAGAGTCGTCCTCTGGCGACTCACACTTCCGCCGCGCAACGGAAGCGGCTTTCAAAGTCCGGGCAGAAACTGCACTACTCTGCTTGAATCGTTCCGCTAATCCGCGGCATCTGCACCTCTACGTTCCACTAACTAGATTAAGGCGTTCTGCCCCTGGTCCTTCACTGAGGCTTATGACTCGTTTCTCATCTCTTATTCTGCAGACATTTCCACGGCGCGCCACCACCCGCGCTAGGAAAAAGCTTGGTGCGGGCTGACCACAGTAAATATGGCCGCGTAGACTTCACCATGGTAACTAGGAGAGGCCGCCTCCCATGACGTCAAGGGCGGTTTTGCTTCCGTTTGCCTGGCGGGAAACGGCTCACTGAAAAATTAAGGGCGCGTGTTCTGCGTTCTGATAAAAGTATTTCCGTACAGCCGTTTCTCCTTATTAGAGTACATTTATGCTGTATTTAAAATCACAATGCAGACAGGGGGAAAGTGTAGTCGTTTCAAAGCAGATTTGGGATTTTCTCATTAAAATACAAAAGTAATAGCTCCTTTTTAGAAAAGCATTTTTGGACAATAACTGCCCAGAAATACAAACTGAAGGCGTGTGCTAGCTCCATCCCCGCCCCCATCCTGTTGCTTCAGGCAGCCGCTGTCGATAGGTGTCTGGTCCTTATAAGTTTATCTTTGTGCACGCTCTCAGCAGTCGAGCTATTCATAATACCTTTTTCTTAATTATATTAACCGATATTAATAATAATAATTAATTGAATTTTAGGGCTACAGCGGATGAGTTAAAAGTATTTAACCATTCTTATACTGTAGGCATTTAGATTGGTTCTGATTATTATAAATTGATGAAATGATTTCACCACCTGTATTATGAAGGAGAAAACAAACTGTAGTTTCTCTTCTGCTGCTATTTTTGCTGGCAGAAGTTGAAACATGTGGAATGTGGGTCTTTCCCCTATTTAACAGGCGATAGAATTGAAGCTTGGAGAGGGCTAGGTAATTTGCTAAGCAGCCGGTAACCGGCAAAGCCTGAATTCTTACCCAGGTTGGTCCCTCACAGCTCCAGGGCGTCTCTGCCCCGTATTGTAGCTACTAGTAACTTGTAGCCTGTCGAGGACTTGAAAGTTGGCTAGTGTGATTGAGAAATCGAACTTTTAATTTCATTACTTTTATTAATTTTAATATAAAAACTGATATTCACTTAGGCTTTTGGAAAACTTTTTAGTATGTTTGGAACAACTTGAGTAAGGAATCTACTTTTGCAATGATAAAATTTATTAAATCTAAATAAAAAGTATTTTCAGTTAAAATTTAGCATTCTGAGATGTACTATACTTGTAAAATACATGCAAGATTTTGAGGACTAAGTATAAAAATGTAAAAATATCTCACTAATTTATTTTTTTCATGTTGAAGTGATATGTTTAGTACATTGGATTAAACAAAATATATATTTAACATTAATATCACTCATTTTATTTTACTTTTTTTATGTGGTTACTTAGAAAAATTAAAATTACATATATAGATTGCATTACATGTCTATGAACTGTACTGCTGCAGAGCCTAAGTCTTAACTTTTAAGCAGAGAATCATTTTATTCTATGTATGCCTTTTGAGGAGATTATGAAGCTTTACGTTTCATCAAAAAATTGTGTTATGAATCTTGGGTATCATAGTTCAATGAATAGATCTGAAATGAGTGTGAGGGTTTAGCTACAAATCAGACAAAGCATCCATTTACCTTCAAGTGTTTTAATAGTTCTTAAAAACAGGCTTGGACATAGCTATTCATTCAAGATGTATGATAACCTATATCTGCAAATGATAAAGTGTATTACTTGATAGTAATATTTTTCCCCCTAATTCTTTTATTTGAGGTGGGGCAGGGGTGGAGGGGAGTTGAGGATGGCATCATTTCAGAAAACTAAAAACAAGTTCCTTAGGTTCATTTGTCTCCTTTTCATACCATCTCTTTACTAAGAAAGCCATGACTTTTTTTTTTTTTTTTTGGCTGCATTGGGTCTTCATTGCTGCCTGCGGGCTTTCTCTAGTTGTGGAGAGCGGGGACTACTCTTCGTTGTGGTGTGCAGGCTTCTCATTGCGGTGGCTTCTCTTGTTGTGGAGCACGGGCTCTAGGCACGTGGGCTTCAGTAGTTGTGGCACACAGGCTCAGTAGTTGTGGCTCACGGGCTCTAGAGCGCAGGCTAAGTAGTTGTGGTGCAGGGGCTTAGTTGCTCCGTGGCATGTGGGATCAAACCCATGTCCCCTGCATTAGCAGGTGGATTCTTAACCACTGCACCACCAGGGAAGCCCCAAGCCACGACCTTTTAACACGCATTCTGTCGAGGACAACTTAGATGTCGATCACATGTGTAATTGTGTTTATGTTAAATGTAGTTACCAAGCGGATGATAATAGGCTATTACAATAAGTTGTAAAGTTCATAGAAGTCCGTGCAGCTTATCTGATAGAGTTTCTTTACTGCCCCTGCTGATAAAATCTAAACCAGTGGTCTTCACACTTTGGCATACGTCAGAACCACCTAGACCCATGGCTAGTTAAGTCAGGTAGCTGGGCCTCACCACCTCCCCTCCCCAGTCCTGCTTCAGTATTTCTGGGGTGGGACTGGAGAATTTGCATTTCTAACAGATTCTCAGGTGATGCTGCTGCTGCTGCTCTGGGGACCCCACTTTAAGAATCACTGGTCTAAACAAAGAGACTTGAAGTGTTGGGTTTTTTTCATTTGTATCAGACCAAACTAAGCTTAGTACACTCTGTTAAAAGGTATAAGATATGGGAGCTCTTAAAAAAATCTATTACTCTTTTAATGCTGACCTAGTAGAGCTAGGACATGCTGACCCTACCCTGAAGAAACCCTGGGTTCAAAGATGGGTGAACAGAGTAGCTGAGGAGCTCTGGGGACAAACAAGAAGGGAAAAGCCATGACTGTAACAGTGTGCTTTTTGTCAGAGGCCCTGTATGTTCTCTTTAGTTCCCGTATTCCAAACTAGAAGAATGTTTTGATATAGGCCCCCTTCATAAGAGGTCCAGTGTGACCCAGCACATAGCTCAACGAGCAGGACACATAAACTAATATTTATTAGTGAACTGGGTGGCCCAGAATTACCAAGAGTTCTTAGGAACCTGTATATCTCCTGGTACCAACCCATACTTTTCACAGATCTGCCTTGGAAAAACTTCCAGTTTACATTGCTTTCTTTGTTTCCATAATGTTTAAACTTTAGATATTTATAGCACGGTATGCAATCTGAAGAAAAATGTACATGGCATCTTTCATGTTCAGACATCAGTTCTTTCACTACATCAAAATACCAACTATACTAAGAGTGATTTTTAAACAAATACATCAGGGCATATGGTCAAATGGGGGCCATTCTTCAAACTAATCACCTTCAGAAACTATAAACTTAATCCATCAAGGCTTCCAGTGTTCAAAATGATTTTTAAACTACTGCCCTGAAATTGTTTCATGGCTCCATTTGTAAGTCATACTAGAAAATTGGTGCCTTAACTCAAATGTATACCTTGTTTATAACCAAGAACAGAGTTACACAGCTAAATCACCTGACTTTCTGACAAGACTTGGCAAAAAATATGATGTTTAGCTTTTTCCAAATATCAGATCTTACATCAGAATATAAAGATTCTGTTGACTTTGAGGGATTTTAAAAGGATTCACCATAGATTAATTAGACAAATTCCAAAGATAATTACTAAAAATATTTTTAGCTATGATAGGCATTTTTTAAATAAATGTATGGGTCCTTCAAGGAACAGATCAAATATACTACTCCACAAAGTTCTCCCTAATCTTCTTCCTCCTTTCTCTAGGTTGGAAGTAAGTTCATTTTCCTTTGGATATAAACCATTCCTTATCTTAACATTTCTGATGATAGAAACCCTTCTACCTTTTAGTAGAATTGTACTTTTCCTTCTATAACACCTTTAAAGGAAAGAGTATGACTCCCCCTTGTCAATTAACAGTGTCTTATATTTATTCTTTTATTACATAAATATTTATTCTAAGTACTGGCAATATAGCAGTGAAAAAGATAGACATTCCACTAGAACAGACTCTCTAGGTATGGTCCCTGGGCCGGTAGCATGGGCATCAGCTTAGAAATGCAAAATTTGGGACCCTACTGCAAACCTACTGCATCAGGGACTTGTGTGTTTGTCTGTGTGTGTGTATGTATAGTTTTAACAAGTTCCCCAGGTGATTCTGTGATGCAGGCTGATGTTTGAGGACCACTGAGCTAAAAGGGAGACAATCATAGTTAGATAGATAGTTACTTTGTCTTCTTTGCCACTGTATCCTCAGCCCCTAGGATAGAGCTTAATTAGCACAGGTGGGTGCTTATTATATGTTGAATAGATGATGGGAGTGACAGTGACGTTAGAGTTCATTTTACATAAGAAGAAACCTGTGGCATTAAATAGCATGCCCCAAATCAGAATGGAGACCTGCTGTCAGGACAGTTGTCATTTTATTTTAGGTCAGTGATAATTCCTCCAGGTTATTATTTGATAAAATAGATATGTAAATAAAGTGTGTAGAGATGGAAGAGAGTGATAAGATCTACCTCATCAGGGAAGACTTCCTGATGGAGCTGGGATTTAAGGGATGGGTTATAATCTGGTATGTACGAACAGAAGATCCAGAGAACAAGCCAGGAGTTTGGAATAGCCAAGATATGAAATTGGAACCTGGTGTTTTGGATGCCCTCAGAGGAAAGCAATAGAGAGTTAGTGAGTAGTGCGATAGAAGATTGTCTTCTGGATCAGATTACAAAAGGTTTTGAAGATCAGATTCAGAAATGTAAACTTGATTTAAGAGTCACTAGACTTTTTCTCATCTTTCTGAAATATGAACATAGAATGATAATGGCAGAGATTTGAGACTACCAATCTTATCCAACCCTTCTCCAGGATATCTTTTGCACTTGCACTATCTTTTTTAATACTTGGACTAGAGTATGGATTTGACACCCATTATCTT